GTACGCATACGGGCAACTACCTTTGAATGAAAGTACTAGTCAACTCTGCAGTTTTTCATTAGTAGGAGGTCGATCCACGGGAATGTACCAGTATAAAACGCGATTTTAAGGTTTAACAACTATGCCGGCGGAATTTAAACGGGTCATGGACGCAATTCTTTTGGAATTTCCATGTGCGCGCGCATGTATCGAAGACATCCTAGTTATGTCAAAAGGTTGTAAAATTGAACACATCTCCTTAGTGAAGAAAACTTCGGGGAAACTTGATTTTAAAAAATGGCACTTAAATTGGAAAAGTGTAAATTCTCATGAAATGAATACGAATGGCTTGGCCATCGGATCACAAGTTCTGGTGTTACACCATTGGTTCGAAAAACGGACCCTTTTGATAAATTAGCTTCTCCTAAGTCTTTATCACAACTCAAGTCATTTATGGGTTCGATACATAGTCTTCATAATTATCTACCGGCACTAGCGGAATATGCAGCGCCATTGCGGCCGCTCCTTAGCAACAAAATGAATTCGTTTGGACGAACGAATGTCAACTAGCGTTCGAAACGCTAGTAAACAGGTCGCAAATTTTCCTCCTGTTTTCGCCTAACACTTTGACGTGCATAAAGATATCCGTATTGTTTACGATGCGAGTCATAATGGCCTAGGAACGGTTCCCGAACAATTCGGATCCGAAAGGTGGCGGCCTATTCCGTTCGCTTCCCGATTCTTAAATGCGGCGGAAAAGAAGTACTCAATGTTGGCAGTAGGTAGTCTGGGATTCGGAATACTTTAGAAACTACGTTTTTGATAAACAATTTACTGTTGTAACAGATCATAAAGCCTTAGTAACCTTGTTGAACGGAAATAACTTGAAAATTAAAATCATGTTTAGCCGTCTGACACGTTTGATTGATAGAACTATTCCATTTGACTTTAAAATTGAACACAGAGCCAAAAGAGGACTGGACGATTATTTATCACGGCAACCATCTGGTGACGGAGGCATCGCGGGTGAGCCTTTATGATAATACGTTCACGGTAGCAAAAATGAGATCATTTAACATTTCCCTCGGTTATCAAGTGCACAAAACCACCGGAGTGGCAAATAGCAAGTCCAGTAAACCAATTTTTGTTAGCTAATGAGAACAAAATAGGACAGAATAGTCGCAGACCTCTAACGGATGAGGCCAGAAAATCATGTGATTGTTCAACGACCAATCAGAATGCAACCATGTGCATAATTGCGTGCAACGACCGCAAAGGCGCGAAAATAGTCAAATCAATTGGTAATTGGCAATTGCGTGAGTCTAATTTTAATTCTTATTTTCAGTTTGCAAACAAAAATTTCCAAAAAAAGAGCAAAAAATTGAAAAATTAAATGAACTTCTGTTACGATCGCCAGAAATTAGCAGCGTCAGCAGCAGTAAGATGGAACTGATGGACGGGAGATTGGACGCGGTGACGACACGGGTCAGAGATATTGAATGCAACACGGTTATTTCTATTCCATCGGCATTTGGGGGGAGTTGTTTCCGGCGGCGTACCCCGCGAACGTTGTTATGTCAAGGATAACATGGGATTGTAAAATTGTCAGGAAGAGTGACCCATTGCCAGAACTGTTTAACATGAAGTTAGTGGAAGCCAATTACAAGGGAGACCCTCAAATGTGAGCAGTCAAAGAATTAGTAAAGGCCAAGGACCCACAAATCGAGAGAAAGATCCGCGCAATGGGTGCGTATTTAGGACTAAAAACTCACAATTTTGTTGTTCGTGAGAATTGTCTCCTGATGGATGAACGACTCGTCATCCCGATCCCTCTTCAAAAGGCGGTGGTAAACTGAACTCACTGTTTCCACAGTGGCCGGGCGAATCTGTTTGATGCGGCTAGGGATGTGTGGTTACCTTAAATCCATCGGAGTTTGTTGGCGGCCAACGATGACTGCAAGTAATGCACCGAAGCAGGTAAAAGCCTTAAGCCAATGTGCGGCAAATATGACATTGGGAAGATTTACGAACCTAGGGAGCCACATGAATGCCCTCAATAAGACTTTGAAGGGCACGATTAAGTATCTGAATGAGTCTGAAAAAACGTGTTCTTAAGGCGGTGGACCGTTTTTCTCGGAGGCCATTGGCGATGATTTGAAGAAACAGTAGGAGTGATAAACTTCTAAAATTTTTGAAACACTATATATCTCATCACGTAGTGCCTAGGAAAGATCTTATGAATCAATGTTCTAGTTTCACGTCAAAGGCGGTAAAGTCTTTTTATAACTTCGAGGGAATATAAATTGTCCACTCTCCTGAAAATGATCATCGAGCCACCGGGTGCGTGGAACGTACAATTGGTAGTCTGAAAAACTTTGTTTTTACCTATGCGAAAGACAAAGATCATGGAAATTTTGGGCCTATGATAGAACACGCGCTTAGTGCCCTTGGATTTGCTCCTAATGCTACACTCAAAATGAGGCATTTCTAAGCACATCACGGCCGGAAGGCAAATACAGTTCTCCAAAATCTTACGAAAAAACCATCGTTACAAAACCTCAATATGGAGAGAGTGTTGATACAAAATTTTGCGTGTTTAGATTCTAGTGATCCATGCGCGGGTAACCTATTTCATCCAAGAGCGACCAATTGGGGCGAGAGGTCAGATGCTGAGTACGATGTTGAGCATATCAATCATCCGCGAAAATTCGCTGAGGATCAATTGCTGGCTATTGCTGATAATGGTCCGGCGCCGAGTGATACGAAGGAACACGGTAACTCAGAGGGCATGCAGAAATCGGGGTTGGAAAATCGGACGCCTAGGCTTCCAAGCAAACGGGCGGAACTTTTGCTTCCAATCAAAGGTATAAACTATTAAAAGAAAAAGTGATTTAAGAATCTAAACACACGTTAACACTACAAAATGAGTCTGTTCTTAGTCGCGGAAAAAGTCAACAAATCGGCACCGGAATCGCCAAAAGAATTTTTTCGAAGCCTCTGACTATGATTGACGTCAAAAGACAGGTCGAGCAGAAAAAGGCCGAAGCGAAAAAGGCTTAGGAAAACGGCTCGAAAAATGTATGGGGATAGACGCGACAGAAGTCGCCGAACTGGGACAACGACAATGAATCAGATTCTGATTCCGAATATGAGCCACTCCGAGTAACAAAGAATCTCGCAGTGGGGAGACGGTACGAGATAGAAGCTGGCCCTAGCCATAGGAGTGTGTCGAGCCCTCCAATTACAACCACGAGAACGCAAATCGGAACGCAATCAACCGACGGAGAGTATTTAAATACCGAGCGTGCGGAAACAGTCGAGGTCGGAGAAGCAAACAGTGTGCCTAACGTGAGTGAAAATGTAGTGGCGAGCCAAACTTCGAAAAAAGGCGGAAACTGCAAAGAAGCAAAGATTAGTTTCTTATTCGAGCCAAGAATCGCAGGATTCGGACGGAGCGGGATCTCAAAAAAGATCAAGAAAGCAAACGGCGGTGATAAAATAAGGAGGAGTCATGATTGAGAGTATTTTAAAGCGTGGCGAAACAAGGGGGAAGGAAAGAAGGAACGGAACACAAACAAAAAGGGTGACATCCAGAGGATAGTTACAAACTGTTAAAAAATAAACTTTGTATGTATGTCTAGGGAAAGGGCGGACCGCCGGGTCTAAAACTCAAAACTTAAAATTACAATTTAAAATTAGTCCAGTTGAAGGAATGTCATGTTTATACATTTCATAGGATGATTTTGTGAGTTCAGTTAGATTGTTTATACTGTTTATTGAGTTTGATTTATGGCGCCACTGGTGCTGTCCAAGACCTTGGTGCCAATTGATTAAGTACCTGTCAGCTGAATTGGCGTGTGCTCGTTATCTAAAACAGTTGAAGGACTGATAGCTTACGGTATAAGTTTGAGACTTATTGTTAAGAAATGTATATTATTGATTCGCGTTTTTCTCAACCTGGTAGCGTTTTATTGGTTGTCAGTAATTAGAGCCAGATTATCAGCTCATGCAAACTTTCTTTCTCGCCGTTGGTCTTTATAGCTATTTATGGCCCGGTGCCTGAACTCGTAATTCTAGTTACGCGTCTTACTTCCACTTGTGAAGAATTCAGCAAAACTTGTTTCTTACTCAGTTACTTGAGTTTGTCTTTAAACGCCTGACAGCAAAAAAAAATAACCCCAGTTTGACAGCAGAAAAGATACCCAGTTTTCTCACCAGTTTTCTCACCACCAGTTTTTTCCGTGCTTTTCAGTGAACCTCAGTTGGTTGGAAACAACTCCAAACTGTTCATCGCCCTATTGGTTTTGTACAGTTGCGTGTGTTGCAGTTTTTTAATGGAGATGATTTTTCTGAAATATCATTGACACTTTTAGGTCGACTAAATTGGTTATCTGAGCTCTGACCATAAACAAAACAGAATTTTTTAACCAAAATAACCCTGCGCGGCAGATAATTTTCAGTTAAATGGCAAAAAGCAACTTTCTTTTAAGTACTGTTTGAAAAGGTTTGACTTATCAATCCCGATTTTTTGGCACCCTCAAAATTGGTGTTAATTGGCGCCAAATGCATTTTTATTTTTTTTTATTTGGTCTGCGAAAAATTGATGTCATAATTTACTACAAAAAGGGACCTACCAGAATTGAGAGGAAGCATCTCCTACATTATCTCAGCACGCAAACGGTTCTCTATAACCTGATTTCTCTTAAAAAAAACTCAAAAAGAAAAAATTCTGGCGCTAATCCATTAATCAACGTGAAACATGAACTCTCGAAAATAAATGGATAGGTTTCAGCGTTGCTAGTCTATGCATTGAAATTTGATGCATGAACTTTTAAATTGGCGATGTAGTTTTTTTAGAGGTGCTCTCATTAACGATGTAAAAAGCCAGGCTGAACGTTCTTAGTGCCAATTTCGAGGTTGTGTGCAGTTCATTTGTTTATATTTTTTTATTCACTTTGTTTCTCTATATTCCAGAGCAGCTGCTCAAAACATAACAAACTAATTAATTACAACGTTTAGATATTAGACTTTTGATGCTAAAGTGATCTGCAGTGCCACTTTTTGGCCAGCCAAAAAATCAAAAGTTGTAATTTTGTTATGAAAAGATCTGTGTTGTTTTCTATCAGCATTTGCGTCATAGAATCAAGAGTTTGTGTGTTCACGCGTCTCCGCGACAATGAATAAGTCATTCAAACTAGGCGCAATTAAAAATAATTAGTTGTGCTAACATTTGACGTGTACATTTAAAGAGAAATCTCTGAAGAAACAGTTGGAGCAAGAAAAGTAGTGAAAGTGCACCTTTTGAGTTTTCTAACTGCGACCTTGAGTTAACTATTGGGCGTAGTAATAAACATGGGGGCCGATGACGATGACAAGACTATTGTTGAGAAAGTGATGGGGAACAAGATGGTGATGATAGGTGTGATTGCGATGGCAGAGGTGTTTGGCATCATAGGTCTGGCTCTGTTGATCCACTTCTCCAGAGAGTACTACGGTGGCTACGAGTGGGGCGACATGAAGGACGGACTCCTCTTCACCTACCACCCCCTCTTCATGTATCTGGGCATGATCTTCTTCTTCGGAAATGCAATCATGTCCTTCAGAGTGATGAACATGCTTCCTGTAAGTGACCTACTCATCCCGATGAAAAACTTAAAAATATATAAATCTAAATCGAATTTATACTATCATTTTGAAGCGTATTCACCGAGCTCTCCTAAGACATTTTTTTAAAATAGTACTTGCACGTACTCTTATATGATTTTGAGAAAACACAACTTAATTTAGGGCTCCTATAATAAGATTAGCAGTGATAACTTCTCCATGTGCTGTAGATCCCCAGGGTAGTGGCCAAGTGTATCCACGGTGGTCTGCACGTGTGCACGATGCTGTTCATCAGTCTGGGTCTGGTGGCGATCAACAGGGTCAAGAAGAATGCGTGGATGGGCACGAACAACATGTACAGTACCCACTCCTACTGGGGAGCTGTGACCATAGCAATCTACGTCCTCCAGTTCTCAGGGGGGCTCATCTCATTCCTCATACCCGTCGTGAGTGACTTTCAGTAATATACCTAGTTATATACCTACCCAAAGCGAAGCACCATTAGAATAGATCATTTATCAAGAAGCTCCGATACGCAGCAGGCAAAAAAGTTCGCCAAAAAATTTAAGCTTCAAGTGAATTCGTTTTCAGTCGGGGCTCTCAGAAAGTTGGTCTGTATATTTAGTTCATGTCGGCAGCACGAATTGCGACACCATTCATACAGCATGCTGTCGCTGCGATCGCATGCTGATTCTCAATTGCATTCCTTGAGCTACGTTTTGTTAGAAGCAAACCACTCGGAAGCAAAGGCTGGTGTTTTCTCCGAGATGTCAGTTCTCAATTTCTTTTTGCGCATCTGTCAACTGATTTTAAGATTAGTTTTCGTAAAATCAATTTGGATGTTTCTGCTGTCGGACAGAATCAAGCGCACCTTCCTGCCAATTCATCGGTTCCTGGGAGCAGGCATCTTCCTCATGGCCCTGATAACAGTGCTCATTGGACTGACCAAGATGGCCAGCACCGTGGGACAGGTGACGGGCAAGTCCTTCAGCTCCTACCCCGAGTGGGGGACAGTGCACATATTCACATCCTGCTTCATCGGACTGTTCGTGCTCACAGTCATGGTTGTGATTATCAACAGTGGATTCAAAACACCTCCAAAAACCACCCAAGAAAAATAGACGCGTCAAAATTTGGACGAGAAATTTAACATGGAATCTATTCTGTACCATATATCATCTATCAAATCACATATCATGTATCATATGAACTGTTTAATTCATATTACTGGAATTATTTTCAAAATCAACTGCATGCTACTTTAATAACTCAATGTCATTTTATAATGTGAATGTAAGCCGAGAGAGTTGTCCAGCTCCCTAGGAATAAATTACCTTCGTCCCTTGTGCATATCCTTTGCTAATGTCTTGCGATAGTCCATATCGACTGGTCAACTCTGAAAAAATCAGAGACGATTCTTGTTACAATATTAGCAACCCGTTCAAAGTTTTGTTTATTTTTCTGTTTATATTTATCGAATTATTAGCGGAATAACACGCCAAAACTGCGATGTCGAAACACCGCAAAAAATGAGGGTATTTTTTTTTTACAGATTGTCTGTTTTGCAAAAAAAAAACAAACGGCGTGACTTCTAAAGGCTAAGTCTTCACTAATGTTTTTCAAAATTTGGCTGTAAATATTAGCAAATTTGCATCAAACTCACCATTGCGAAGACTTCTTAGCGCAAAATGTTATGCAAGCTTCAAGATCCCTGCGTGTCCCAAAATACAATTAGCGATGCAATAAATCTGATCTCCAATAGATTCATATTTAAACTTCTGAGTTTTCGACTAATATTCGAATGGAATGATTTTGATCGCGGATTAGTTTGGAGGTTGGGCGTTGATTGAAAAAGTCTGTGACGCGTAATAAAAGGCCAAGGCTAGCGCTTTTGAAACAAAGTTCAAACAAAAATACTCAAACAAAGATCATCGCAGGTTTTGTTCAGACTTTTGCAGAACAGACGGAAAATTTTGTGCTCGAATTAATTTTCTCCCTCCAGACAATTCCAAAATTTTTAAATAAGTTTTTCGACGGATCGTTCATACCATCTGCAAACCATTGATGTCTAGAACTATTGAGTATTCAAAATCTGAAATATAATGCGAATTTTCCATCGAATATGTAATTCAATATTGGCCGAATGCGAAATCAGCAGGTAATTCAATCGTGCTGATACGTGTTGCCAGCTTGCCAGAACGGAAATATAAAATGTTTATAATAACAGTATTTATCAGCGCAAGGCCATCGCTAGGCCACTGAAAGAAAGTTATTATAGCAGTAAAAATGCATCAAACGTTTTTATTTCAACTTTCGAAGAAAGTGACGGAATATTTGAGCCCGGTTATTTTTTTCCCAGACTAGTTTCAATTTTTTTACTAGGCGTTTTCGGTTTAAAAAAAATTATATCAACCAAGCGTCTATTTGTTGTCTTGAGCACCCAAGAATTTGTTTTTGTCGCCTGTGATTTATTTTTGTAAAACTATGGGGGTTTAAACATTTCACAATTAGCCAAGTGGGGATAACTAACGCGCGATATAATATGAGCTTTTAACGCGTCAGCAGATATTAAATCCGTCTTAGAAACAAGTCTGAATTGAATTTAGGCATGCTGTTGTGTATACCGAAAACTTTGCTAGTTTTAAATTACCAAACTTTTTGATAGGGGAAAATTTTCCCATAAAAGGTTAGGAAAACTTTTTTTCCCTTTGTTTTTGACGAACAATTCTATCTTTCATTCTTATATTCTAAAGCGAACAGTACTCCATGGAAAATAGGCAGTCCGAACCTTGATGGCTTCTATCTGATAGGAGCAGTGTTTGTATCGATTTTCTGCATAGTGTGATCATATTAAAATGTTTCAGGTTAGCTTGATAAACGTGCAACATTGGGGTGAAAAATTTCAAAATATTCTTTCTTTTTAAACATGGCTTGGATTCTGAACAACTTCATTGTCAACAAAACTGCCCAAATTAGGGGGAAAGCCTGAATAATCCGACTGTCCTTATGTGTCAAATGCAGTTTTTAGTTCAAAAAACCTGTTAAAAATTCCAAATTGAGAATTGAAACTTTTTTCATTTCCTTCTTTCCAACCGCTACGTCAAGTAACAAAATGATTTAAAAAAAGTTTTTTTTAAGGTAGCTTTTATACCAAATAAATTGCTGAGTTTAATTTGGACTAGTTGTTTCCCGCAACCTACTGCGTCGGATTAGTTCATAGCTTTTGAGCTACATTAAGTTTTGACTTTTCAATTTCCAAATCACAACTTTGACACAGGTGAACACAATTTTAACTTTGGCTCAGATCATCAATACTTTTTCTATTGGTATTTAAAAACTTTTTTCATAAACTTTTAGTCAAAAGTCGAAAATTGTGTGAAAAAAAAAACAAAAAAAAAACAATTCTGGGCTAAAAATGTTCCGAAGGTTGAATGTTAAAACACGGAGGCGAAGTTAGGTTTCGCAACATTTGCGATGCATTGAAAAAATTCTAAAAAACGAAGTTAAAAAAAATTACTTAAAAAAATTTCTGAAATATTAAGTTGAAAAAATAACTTGAAAAAAAATTGAAATCTTGAAAAAAAAACAGCTACAAAAATTTCAAGTTTGTATAAAAAGACGTTCTTAAACAAACTTAAAAATCAAACATGGTTAAATTAGAAATTACTGACATTTCAATTATTGTAAGGAATTCTTTAAATTGGGACAAAACAAATATTCTAGAAAATAGGCAAATGAAATTTTCAGTTGTTTAGCTGTTGTTTTTTGTGTTTTTTCAAGTTTATGTTTAGTAATCGTCGACAAATGGAACTGTTCCTGAAGTTCAGTTAAAACTGATTTCTGAAACAAAAAAAATGAATATCTTAAATTTTGCAAAAAAACTAATTGTTCATGTAAAATAGTGGGAAGAAACTAAGAAAAGTGAGCCTATCAAATTAGCTGCTTTAGAAAAATTATTCACAGATTTGCCATTTTTTTGTTTCATACTTCTTCTTAACCATCCTAGCACTATTTAAGCTAATGAGGCTAAAAATCACCAATCAAGTACAAATCTTACATTTAAGGGTTTATATTGAAAAACCTATGGTAAAAGGGTCACTAAAAATTTTGAATACAGTATATTTTTTTGAAACTCAATTTTTCTGTTTATATTTCTGAAAGTTTCTCTATAAATATGTGCCAATTCTTCAGCTGAGTCACAAAAACCATTGCTTTATTTGAAGTCTTTCCGAGAAGAGCTATTCCTTTCACAAAGTAGAGAAAGCCAAATATAAAAAAAAATATTTTTTTCTTGAAAATTTCACCAAACACCTTAGCGATTCCAAACACGGTAACCTTAACATCACCTAGAAATTCATATTATTCACTGTCGCTGATTATATGCAAGGGTAGAATTAAGGGAGTCCATGCAGTTTCTTGATCTTATTTCGGCCTCCATTTTTCTCAAACACCTTAACAGTTTCAATTTTTGAAATTTAACTCTGAAATATGTCTATAGTTATAGAGAAATTCTGATTTCGAAAAATCATTAAAAAAATTTTTTAAAAGTCATTGAGATCAGAGAACTTAAATTCATTCATGGCTGATTGCGTCATGATGTTTGCGTCCAAATGAATGACGATGATTCACTAATTTGAACTTTGTTGAATCTCAGCACCTTTCATGATTTGTGGGTGTTGGTTAAATTAATTTTACTATAAAAAGAAGACTGATTCAGGTTCTGGAGGTTCTGGAGTAAAACGTTGGAGGAATTTAGGGCGTATTTCCAGAAAATTTTGAAAAAGAAATTATTTGGTCTGTTTGGTGTATTAAAAATGCTGCTAGATTCAAGGTATAACATTTTGTGTTCGGGGGTTGACTTTTGAAAAAAATGGCTATGAAAAATATTTTGATTTTTTTTTAAATTTTTTAAAATTTTTTTGGCGTACAACTTTAATCTTTATTCATCTTTTAAATTGAACGCTACTCTAGAGAAAATTATCTTGAAGGCTTCCATCTGATTTTGGCAGTGTTTTGTTTCAATTTTCTGAATAATGTGATCATAATAAAATGTTTCAGGCTAGCTTGATAAACTTGCAACATGGGATAAAAACTTCAAACGAATCGTCCTATTTAGAGAATGATTTGATTATAAACATCTTCACTACCAACAAGATTGAGCAATTCAAGGGAAGACCTGAATGTTCCAAGTGTCCTTACATGTCGAATGCAGTTGCTCGTTAAAACAATCTCTTAAATTTTCAAAATCAAGAATTAGCATTTTGTTTCTTTTTCCTTCTGCCTGTACTTCAAGTATCCATGAAACTTGGGTTTTTGAACGTATCATTTGAATATATTTTCCCCAACCTACGCTAATGAGTCGGATTAGTTCACCGCGTTAAAGGTACACTTTAATTTTACACCATATCGTCAAATTTCAAACTCTAAGTCGTAATTTTGTCACAGGTGAAACATAATTTTAACTTTGGGCTTAAGGCATCAATACTTTCCTAATGATATTCAAAAAAACTTTCAAAAGTTTTCAGTCAAAAGTCGAAAATTGTCTCAAAAAAACATGAAAAATAACTATACTGATCTAAAATGTTCCAAAAATTGAATCATAATGCACAGAGGCATAGTTTTGCATTACTTGCAAAGCAAAAAAAGTTCTGAAAAACAAAGTTGAAAAAATGAAAAAATTTCTGGAAAATTGAAGGATTAACCGGAAAGTTTAAAAAATGCTAGCAAAGTTTCATGGTGGTATATAAATTCAAAAATAGCCCTAAAAAGAATTGAAAGTTAGCTATTTTGAGCGGCAAAAAAAATTTGGGTCAAAACTTGTTTGAGCCGAAAACAAAAAAAGTTGTCATAAAACAATTCATAAAATTTTAAAAAATTCGACCCATCCAATCTGAAACACTTAATCGCATGCGACTATATTGGCCCTCAAAATTATGCAATAATAGTTGACTGACACTGAACCGATACAACATAAGTTGAAACGAATGAAAAAAAACCAAAATCAGACTAGATATACTGGTAAACTTACAAATTACTGAGCTATAGTAAAAAAACTGTCTAAATTGGAACAAAACAAATGCTCGAGAAAATAAGCTAAAAAAACGGAAAAACCGAAAACCGACAGAAAAGAAGTCGAAAAAAAAAACGTACAACGAACCGAAAGAAACTAGGGCGAAAACCACAAAACCCCAAAAAAAGAAAAATTTGTTGAAAAATTAATTACACCTGAAACGTTTTGTACCTAATTTCTAGTCAAATTATAGTAATTTTAATTAAAATTCCAAACTGAGCACGTCAAAAGATGAAGGAGTCCAAGAAATGAAATGATGAGTCCTGTGAACAAAGTTGTTTAAGGGAAAAAGTCTTGTACTCGATTTCAATACCCTTACTTATCGCAAGGGTTACAAATGAAAAATTAAAAAAAGTGCGCTTGGTTGAAGTTAAACTATTTCACGAGATACATTTGCTTTTTGAATCGTTTACATAAATAAATTTCTTCTCATGGCAAATAAATGTTCATCCGTCAGGCACTTGATGTTATGGGGTGGGTCGTCATCATTGCAATCAGCGACTGCAGTACAATACTCACACATATGAGACAAGATCCGACAATCGAAAGTACCATTGGGTCTTCCTGAAGCCAGAATACTTGTAGAATGTAACATAGCACGATACTTAGTAATTTAATGAGAAAAGACAGAGAAGGCAGCGACTTTCGGGAGCCGAGAATCCCAAAGAAGCCGACGGCCACGTACAACGAGTAGCCAAAAATTGCTAGAATCCTGTCGGCAATTGAGGCGCTTTGGAGCTCCATTTTATTATTTATCATTTCAGGCAATGGAAATATGCAGCATCCCGTAAACGAAGCGGCAACTAAGAGAGACACCGGAATGTTGGTCAACTTGTGCATGTTGATGAAAGACAGTGCTCCGAAAAATCCCGACAATGTCGATAAAACTACTCCCAAAATGTAACTGAGATCGAAATCGAAGTCGTCGCCCGTCTGCGATTGGCTAATACAAGCTAGTCCAGCTAGACCAATCAGAGTTGAGAGGACAGTGCACCAATGAGGAACGAACTTAAGACAGAAAATTTCTAATATGAGACAAAACCCGAATGCAGAGAAGTAATTAACAGCAGTAGCGTCTCCAACTGTCATAAAATCCAGAGATAGAAAGAATAAGAAGTTGAACAACCCCGCACAGAAAAATCCATTGAGGAAAACTTTGAACAATTTATCTCTTGGGTATGTTTTCCGACTGCAAGCAAATAACCCGACTAAACCCGAGAGCGTGCCAAGATATCCGACTCCAAAGGAAGCAGTGCATCCGCCGAGTTCCGAGAACTGAATGATGGCGCCTGACAGGGCAAGGGATATCGCAGCTGCCACATTCAGTAACAATCCACACAGTTTGGTTTTTCTGGTCGGCGTTGGTCTGTTTGCTAATGCACTGGCTTCAACTGCATGACTCACATTTGTGACTGAGCAATCGAAAGTCGACATAACTTCAGCCTCGTGTAAAGATTAAGAAAACTCTGTCTAACAGAGCTTACTTTTGTAACTTTTCTTCCTCGATCCACCTTCAGTTTTTTTTATTTCGAATAGATGCACGGCTGTTTTCCTCTTTTAAGCGTATTTTAGACATTGCAAATGGTTACCATCGACAGATAAGGGCGAAGAAAAAGAGCGCGCTTTGTTACTTCATTAATAGTCCATTTCGACTATTGTTTTTGTTTTTTTTTGTTTGCGGGATTTCTATGTGATAGGGTTTGTGTTCAGTAACCGTCGACGCTCGAAACCATTTCTGAAGTTTAGTAAAAACTGAACCCTAAAACATAAAACGCATGCCTGAAATTTTGCAAAAAAGTATTGTTCATTTAAAATAATTTGTATGAACTAATTAAACCAATTGGAAGAAGTTAGGAGAGTTGAGCTTATTAAATTAGCAGTTTTAAAAACACTGTTTATAGATTTGCCCATTTTATTGTTTCGTACTTCTGCTTAACCATCCTATCTTCATTTATGCAAATGAGGGCAAAAGTCAATTAAAAAGTACAATTCTCACCTTCAAGGGTTCATCTTGGAAAACCTATGGTAAAAAAGGTCACAGAAGTATTGACTTGAAATGATTTTATTCAAACTCAATCTTTCTTTATATTTTCCAAAACAACTCTCTATAAATCTGTGCCATATCTTCTGAGCCAAAGAGTCTCAAAAACGTCGCTTTGTATGAAGGACACTCGAGCACCACACGGAGAAACTTGGCAGTCTTGCCGATGAGAGCTATTCCTTCCACAAACTAGTTCAGGTCTTCTCAAATGCCAAATACAAATGAAAAACCCATTTTTTGCCTTTGAAAAGATTACCAAGCACGGTAACGGTAAAATCAGCTAAATAATCATAGCGCTGATTTAATTTATCCGGACAAAACGAACAAAACTTGAACTTTCAAACAAGTTTTTTTTCAAATTCACAAAAACTGAAGAGAACAAAAGTTGATTAAAGTTTCATCAGAATTAATATGGTGCAATTTTTTCTCCAAAGCTCTCAACCAAATTTTTACCCCAAAAATTGGCCATTTTGGCTTTTTTCAGTTAATCAAGAATTTCGCTGAAACTACTAAGTTAAATGATAAGTAAAATAGATCACAAGAGCTCAACAGAGTTCTAGAAGGGCTAAATCTCCAAGACTTTGAGTAAGTTGTTTAAAATTTGTTTTTAAGCAAAGATTTTGGGTTTTATTTAGTAAAAATCACGTTTCTTGACTATCAAGCAAAAATATTTTCTCTTATACAGGTTTTTGGAGAATTAACCCTTATAAGACTTTTTTGTTGGGCTGTGTAAGATGCTTCATGTGATATTTATGCCTTATCAATTAACTAAGTAGTTTCAGCGTAATTCTTGAGTAATTGAAAAAAGCCAAATTGACCGATTTTTGGGGTAAAAGTTTGGTTGAGAATTTTGGAAAAATTGCACCATAATAATTCTGATGAAAATCTAAGCAACTTTTGTTCTCTTCACTTTTTGTCTAATCTTAAATCAATTTGAGCACATCGTGTTCGAAAGTTCAAGTTTTGTTCATTTTGCCCGGATAACTTGAATCAGAACTGTATGCTAGGGCAGATTTAGGGAGTTCCATGCCGCTTCTTCTTATTCTTTCGCCTCCCCTTTGTCTGAAGCTGTTTTTCGATTTAAGTTTGAGGTCATCTAACTCTAAGCTATGTCGAACAAGAAATTCTAAGTTCGTAAAACTGCAAAATCATTTGAAAGTTTTTGATATCAGAGAATTTAACATCACTCATGGTCAATTACCACATTATGCTTGCGTAAAAATGGATGATTATGATTCAATTGTTTGAGTTTTGTTGAATGTCAGCACTTTTCATGATTTAAGGGTATTGGTCATATCAATTTTAGCATAGATACTAGCCTGATTCAGGTCAGATCTAAAAATTTATAAGAAAGTTGGGGCGTATTTCCAAAAAATTGAATCTTTTTAACAATTACCCCCCTCGCCTATGATACCTTGTACCGAGTCTCCCCCCCCTATGAAGAGACAACTGATCAGTTAGGCATTTCCAAGTTTGGTACCTTGTTAAGAATATCGCCGCTTCTTCTTTCTTCTTCGTATTTCGCCTTCCCTTTGTCCGAAGCTGTTTTACAATATAAGTTTGTGGTAATCTAACTCTAAACTATGTCAATCAAGAATTTCTAAAGTTGTAAAATTGTAAAATCATTTGAAAGTTTTTGATATCAGAGAACTGAACAACACTCATGGTCATTTATCTCATCATGCTTGCGTAAAAATGGATGATGATGATTCAATTATTTGATTTTTGTTGAATGTCAGCATTTTTCATGATTTAAGGGTATTGGTCATATCAATTTTAGCATAGATACTAACCTGATTCAGGTCAGATCTAAAAAATTTGTAAGGAAGTTGGGGCGTATTTGGAAAAAAAATGGATCTTCTATGGTACCTTGTAACGAGTCTCTCCCCCCCCCCCTATGAAGAGAGAATTGATCACTTAAGCATTTCCGAGTTTGATACCTTGTTACGAATATCGCCGCTTCTTCTTTCTTCTTCATTTTAAGCCTCCCCTTTGTCCGAAGCTGTTTTACAATATAAGTTTGTGATCATCTAACTCTAAACTATGTCGATCAAGAAATTCTAAATTCGTAAAATCGCAAAATCTTTTGAAAGTTTTTGATATCAGAGAACTTAACATAACGCATGGTCAATAACCTCATTATGCTTGCGTAAAAATGGATGATGATGATTCAATTATTTGAGTTTCGTTGAATGTCAGCACTTTCCATAATTTAAGCGTATTGGTCATATCAATTTTAGCATAGATACTAGCCTGATTCAGGTCAGATCTAAAAATTTATAAGGAAGTTGGGGCGTATTTCCAAAAAAATTGAATCTTCTTAACAATTTTCCCCCTCCCCTATGATACCTTGTAACAAGTCTCCCCACCCCCCTATGAAGAGAGAACTGATCAGTTAAGCATTTCCCTGTTTGGTACCTTTTTACGAATATCGCCGCTTCTTCTTTCTTCTTCGTTTTTCGCCTCCCCTTTGTCCGAAGCTGTTTTACAATATAAATTTGTGGTCATCTAACTCTAAACTATGTCGATCAAGAAATTCTAAATTTGTAAAATCGCAAAATCTTTTGACAGTTTTTGATATCAGAGAACTTAACATAACGCATGGTCAATAACCTCATTATGCTTGCGTAAAAATGGATGATGATGATTCAATTGTTTGAGTTTTGTTGAATGTCAGCACTTTTCATGATTTAAGGGTATTGGTCATATCAATTTTAGCATAGATACTAGCCTGATTCAGGTCAGATCTAAAAATTTATAAGAAAGTTGGGGCGATTTTCCAAAAAAAAATTGGATCTTCTTAACTATTCTCCCCCTCCCCTATGATACCTTGTAACAAGTCTCCCCACCCCCCTATGAAGAGAGAACTGATCAGTTAAGCATTTCCCTGTTTGGTACCTTTTTACGAATATCGCCGCTTCTTCTTTCTTCTTCGTTTTTCGCCTCCCCTTTGTCCGAAGCTGTTTTACAATATAAGTTTGTGGTAATCTAACTCTAAACTATGTCAATCAAGAATTTCTAAAGTTGTAAAATTGTAAAATCATTTGAAAGTTTTTGATATCAGAGAACTGAACAACACTCATGGTCATTTATCTCATCATGCTTGCGTAAAAATGGATGATGATGATTCAATTATTTGATTTTTGTTGAATGTCAGCATTTTTCATGATTTAAGGGTATTGGTCATATCAATTTTAGCATAGATACTAACCTGATTCAGGTCAGATCTAAAAAATTTGTAAGGAAGTTGGGGCGTATTTGGAAAAAAAATGGATCTTCTATGGTACCTTGTAACGAGTCTCTCCCCCCCCCCCCCCCCTATGAAGAGAGAATTGATCACTTAAGCATTTCCGAGTTTGATACCTTGTTACGAATATCGCCGCTTCTTCTTTCTTCTTCATTTTAAGCCTCCCCTTTGTCCGAAGCTGTTTTACAATATAAGTTTGTGATCATCTAACTCTAAACTATGTCGATCAAGAAATTCTAAATTCGTAAAATCGCAAAATCTTTTGGAAGTTTTTGATATCAGAGAACTTAACATAACGCATGGTCAATAACCTCATTATGCTTGCGTAAAAATGGATGATGATGATTCAATTATTTGAGTTTCGTTGAATGTCAGCACTTTCCATAATTTAAGCGTATTAGTCATATCAATTTTAGCATAGATACTAGCCTGATTCAGGTCAGATCTAAAAATTTATAAGAAAGTTGGGGCGATTTTCCAAAAAAAAATTGGATCTCCTTAACTATTCTCCCCCCACCCTATGGTACCTTGTAACGAGTCTCTCTCTCCCCCCCCCCCCCCCCCTTCTATGAAGAGAGAATTGATCAGTTAAGCATATACGAGTTTGGTACCTTGTTACGAATCCCCCCCAACCCCCTAAGGTGGCCAGTCTATAAAATTCTATGGCAAATTGGCATTTTCGTAATTCGAGTGATTTAGGCTTTTTGTAATGATTTCAGAAACTTCATGAATCATCCGCACTTTCCAAGAATAAAAACAATTATTTTTCCCAAGACTTTCAATTTTTATATAAAGAAAGCGTCTCTTTGATTTGAGCAGACAAAAATGGTCACAATAATATATAAAGACAAGACTGCTCGTATATCAGACCAGGGTGTTCTTTATACACAGAGACGGAGTTGCACTTCGCATACACAAGCAATATATGACCAAAAACGCTACAGGGAAAAATTGAAAAAATCAAAACTGTGAGCCTACAAAAAGTGACGCACGCCGGCTCTTTTTCCTCCCCTCCTCACCTGCAAATTTTTTAGAGTAATTTTTCATTACGAGGCCAAACTGTGCATTTTGTGCATTGTAAGCGGATTACACAACAAGGACGCTCCCTTTGTTCTTCTTTTGTTCTTTCATTTTCTTTGATCGTTCCCACAAAATTTTAACATGTTTAAAGACTTGTCAATGGAATCCAGGAACATACAGACACAAAATTGTGCGACTATCCAGTGCACAGTTTGGCCTCGTAATGTTCTGTTTACATTGTCGGATTGTTATAAAGTTTGGCATACGAACTAATTAGGCCAGACAGACATATTTGGTCTTCATACTCAACCTTGTAAAACCACTCGTTACACCATGAAATTAATGCTTATGTGAGAGCCCGCGCGCCTAATATGAGTCTACATAATTGCTAAGTGAAGCAAACCAATTATGACGCATTAGCAGTACCAGTCAATTTGACAAAAAAAAGAAATTCATTAACTAACATGCCTCAATTTATAGAGCGGACGCATTTTAGCTAGTATACGAAAAAGTTCTTTAAAAACATCTGACCCTGTCCAGGTTTGAACCCTCTTATTTAGTTGCGGTTCGCCATCCCTACCTCTACGCAACAGATCCATGATAATTTAAAGCTAAAGTGCTATTTGTAAAATAATAGTCTGTGTTAGTATCCTTAGCATTGGCTGCACTTAATAGCTGGTTATTGATCAAAATGAACACTTTCAAAATGAACTTGTTTTGTCGCAACGATATTTGCTTCTTATGAGGGAGAAAAAGGGAGTTCATACTATAACACAAGCCTTGCTTTGTAATCAAGGCATTCTT